TTTTTTTTTTTCGCGCTCAAACCAGCGTTGAAAAGAGGGGATCAAACTGCGTCGATTGCACTAATCAGCGCTGCCAAACCGTCCCTCCAGGAGAAACTGCAAGGTGGCATATGGATATTGTTGCATTTATTACAGACGAGAGGAAGTACTACTTTATGGTCATAACTTTTTTTTATAGAAAGAGTTATTTTAATAACTAATTTAATAGGGACTTAAAGCCTACCATCAACCTCGAACAGGCTGTTTCTCATGGATGAGACAGCTGTTTACTTCGAAGAAGCTCGCCAGATGACTTTGGACTTCACTGGGGGAATTGCTAAGGAGGCAGAGGACCCTCTACAGCAAAAGTGCATTTGGGTAACTATACATTTCTAATTAAGAAATAGAATTAAGGAAATGTACCCATACCTGTTGGCCCGCCGCATTAGTGTATAGTAAGGACTCGTCGTGTCTGCAGGAGATCGACGAGGCCTAGTACAGGACCTTGCTAAAACAAAATACGGGCGGTTCCGCCAGAACTACGGCGGCTACGGCAAGCAAGACAGCTACGGCAGGAACGACGGCTATAACAACAGCGACGCGTACGGCAACCGGAACGACTACGGAAAGCAAAGACACGTATGGCAAGTAAGACCGCTACGGCAAGCGAGACGGGTATGGCTACCAAGACAGTGACGAGCCGCTCGAAAGCTACGAAGCGCGAGGCGGATATGCCAAGGCGAACATCTATCGCAACAACGACGGATACGGCAAGCGAAGCGGGTACGGGGTGCGCTGGTGGGTACTAGGGAGACTAAACACTATTGGACGTATACTTCAACTGCAACAGTACGGTCCCAACCGTATACTCAGCCACTACACAACACGATCATCGTCATACTCCCACTTCGTGTTTCCGGTGGCTGTTGTTGCTTGCTAATTTTTACCACTTGCATCTGATGCAGGAGGCACCGGTATAACATTCAGTAGCGGTCGTAGCTTTCGAAACTGGAGTGGGCCGAGAGGCTTGGTTAAAATATCTGCCAACATATCCTCTGAAGGGCAGTACTCCAAAGTAAACTCTTTCTGCTCAACGTAATCACGAATCTTGTGATACTTGAGATCGATTCCTTTTACTTTGTAGTCTCCAGTATTTGCCTCGATCACCTTAATCGCCGTTTGATTATCATCATAGAGAATCGTCTTCTTGCGACGAAGCCCTAGCCCCTTCCAAAGATTGTGTGTCCATATTATCATTGTGCAACATTCAGCAGCTGCGACAAACTCTGAACAGCATGTATCGTCCGTTATCAATCGTTGTTTGTGACTTGTGTACGCGAACGTACAACCCTCCACTTGCAAAACAAACCCGGTCACAGATCGGCGATCACTTTTTTCAATCCTAGATCAGCATCTGCATATGCCACAACTTCTTTCTTTGGAGGTCTCCATGCGTTCCCATACAATAACGATGCCGACGCTGGTCGACAGTGGCCGACACGGTCGTGATTGGCGAAAACATGCAGTATTTCATTCAATAACCAATACAATTCCAAGTCCAATTCAATTGGAGAAAAAAGGCATAGAAACCGTGGCAGAGGAGCGCCAGTATTCCGAACGGAGGTCCACACAACGGAAAAACGAAAAGAGAACGCAGGAGCGGCGCACGCGTGCTTGGGGCGTCCGCAGGCGGGGGGTGGCGGGGCCCTCCGCAACGAGCAGCAGTCCGACAGCAGCAGAGACACACCGAGGACCTTCAACAAAGTACGATAACACTGAAGAAGCGCAGAAGGTAGGGAGTGTTGTACGTTTTGTCTTGTGGTGCAAACAACGAAAGGTGGATTCTGTTAGAGTGTTTGTAGGTCTGAAGGGATTAGTAAGCAGTTGACGAGGGGCAATGGAAGCTTAGTGTGCTGTTTCTAGTAGAACTTTGCTGTTTTGCCCCTTGACATCTTGTTGCTGGACCATGTAAGCTTGGTGTGCTGTTTTACAGCGTGATCCTTGCTGTAATGGGCTTACTACGTGCCCACTACTTCGGCTTACACGTTAGCGCACGTGTATGAGGAAGCGTAGTTTGCTTTAACTTAGATTAACTATACTTA